CTTGAATAATGAATGAAATTATTAATGAAATGCTGCATTTTCTAATTTCATTTCAAGAATCGAGATGAGGTCTTAGAATATGAAATATAAAATAATTTTCGTAATTTTCTTCAATTAATAGTAGAGTAGCTAAGAGACTTTTGGAGCGTATTTCCTATAGGGGATGTCGTTACATTAGTGAGTGGGAAAGAGACATATGCGACGTAATCGATGCGGAACAAGATGGAATGAGCATCGGATATTCAAATCAGTGTGTCATCATGTGTATGACTCGAAAATCGGGTTAGCGGCGGCGTTGTCGGTTGTAGAAGATCAAAAAAATTACACAAGGTGTGTGCAGCGTTGGAAAAAAAAAATTCACAGAAATATCATTGATTTTGGACACTTCAACCGCTTCAAAAAAACGTTTTTTATTGCTACATATTTTCTAACAAAATATAAGCACATGTACAGAGTGACTTAGTGTTTCAAAATATGTCTTTGAATAGTGATAAAGTCTAATAGGAATGCAGTAAATCGTTAATGACAGGAACGAGAATCGAAATTTCCTTAGATCTAGAGGAAAATGAAATTTCACGAGACATTTAGAGTGTAATTAAGAGAAAGAGAAAAAGTCTTTATGATGTAGAGTAAGGAATTTATGTCAAATTCATATGTGTCGATTTTTTGGTAGGATAAAATATAATCCATTTTTTGATAGAATGTTTTTCCGTCAACACTATAGTATGATATTTCCTCTTTATGTTCAAATAGTTGATCAATAAACATATTATTTGTAGTGAAATCGTATTTCATCATTCGACGACTTATATATCAGCACAAAGTTGCAGTATTTAACAGTATGATTCAGACTGATAAATGTTCCCTTGTCAGATGGAAATTTGAATAAAGAACTGAACATAATAAATAATAAAACAAATAGCCGTCAACAATGATTACGAAAGCAGTCTAATACATTCTCTATTATAAAAAAATATATACAGCCAAGCTTTGAAGGAAGCTTACCCCATTTGAAGAGATGAGGATGAAAGTTAAAGAACCTTAACCTACTTAGGCCAACCCACTAAGAATGTTTTTCTGCACAACAAAGGTGTAAATATTGCTTTCAAAATCAACAACTTAGGTATGCACATTAGGAATAACAAAGATAAAAGTTCAGTTTTAGAAAACTCGGGAGTGTATAAATCATCATGTGGGTCATGTCCGATGTTTTATATAGGTCAAACTGAAAGAACGTTCTAAGCCCGCATAGAGGAACACAGAAATGACACAGACATGATCAACCATGAATTCATGCCCCTCCATTTTCAGAAGAAAGGTTTAAAACTCAACTTGTTGGAGAGTATGGAAAAAAACAAATTTAACAACTGAAGATGATCACTTGGTGATTGAAACACGTGTCGAGGGGTTGAAATAACGGTTTAGGATAAAACTACAGTAATATTCATCACTACAACACAAGTGAACAATTCGTCATTATTTAATCTGTTTATTTCCAGATATGAAAAGTTGAGTATGATTACGGTATTTTCGGAAATTTAATTTATTCATATAGTTAATGAATTTATACCTGACCTCCTCAAGTAGATTAATTCATTAGAAAGTAGGAAAACAAGTAGGTAATTTAATAGAGTACAAAATAGTTGTAATTTACAAGTAACTTATTAATGCTTGAGAAACCTATTGTATAGCGAAACACGTGTCACGTTATAGTGAAAATCATACGATAAACTGTGCTAAAGAATGTTGTTTGCTTGAAATTTACATGAGGGGTCTAGGTTTCAGAATCGTTTTTTTATGAGTCGAAACTTATCAACTGTGAGACATCGTAGTTTACCCATATGCCCCTTACCTTGTAAACGATTTCAAAATCTTGTTCTCCAGTACTCCAGAACCTGAAATTGTAGTTTTTGAGGCTAGCGTATACAAATTCGGTTATATGTGAGCCAGGACCGTAAGCTGATAGTTCATCAGTCATATCCTAAATAATTGTTTTGTGGGAATGTCATATTCCTTCGATCTCAACACATTGACAGTTGAAAAATAAACGAAACTTTCATTTCTGAACACAACTAATTTTTTTTTGTTGTCGCCGTAATTTACACTCAGATGCACAAAAACACGGTCAAATTGAATCAATGAATAATGTAGATCTTGGATAATTATTTTATTTTCGACTCAATGATGATGAGCAGTTGGTAAATATTCACCTTAATTAATTGGAGTGAATTCAGAATGCAGTTTTTTAGGATATTAATCGTTTGTTTGCTAATTCTTTCAGAATTGACTGATTCGATCCTCAAAACGGAAAAAAATGTTGGATAGATAATTGAAATACCTATCAAACAAGATATTACAAGGCCTTTCCCTTTTTCAATTGAAAAAAAGTTAGATGAAGTGTACTTCCTTTTTATTGAAGTAATTTTCAAGATTATTTATGTAAGTTATTTTGGAACGAAATATATAGTTATAAAATAATACAGAAATGAAAAAATTAGTTTCATTTCGCCCAGTATATATATTATGTTCAGATATTTGATAAGCTAGTTACGCATCTCAAAATAGCGCCTTTGGTCAGTTAGCATCATTAGGAGATATAATAAATCGTCTTTATTGGTGGAGGTACAAAATAGGCGCAGTTTAGCCAAAGGCTACTCTTACACTTAACTTAAAATATACAATTCTAATCAACTAAAATGATAAACAGAGAGAAAGACACGATGAAAAAAATGCATCACATAATAATAATTTATATCATAGGTATCTAGATGACATATTGTGACAAGGTAAGTAAAGGTTAAAGGTAAATTCAGGACACGGCACTCAAGTTCCTTTTGGTATTCAGGAAGTGTTTTTCAGAAAGTGTTTTTTCAGAATGATTCTTAACTCTTAGGTCGGAATTGATGAGGTTTTGAATAGTTCCATAGTTGTAGATGTTTAAGTTGGTATACAATTGCGTATCATCTGCATAGGCCTGAACTTTTGGGTGCTTCATAGAATTCAAGATGTCACTGATTTTCCGTACAAACCGAATACCAAACGTGGTCTAAAATAGGATACTCCAATTTAAAAAAATTACCTCGTTCTACAGAAAGACATTTTAAACCTAAGGAGCATATATTTTCGTCTTGTAAATTAAAATTGTTTAGCAAACAAAATATAGCAACAGCTTCAGATACAGCTCAAAAAGAGGCCATAATTTCTTTTAAAAATCAGGTTAGGGAAAATCGGACGAATTTAAAAAGACTTATCGATATTACGATTTATTTGGGATCCCAAGAATTAGCTTTTTGCGGACACGATGAAACCGAAGATTCGATTAATCGCGGCAATTACAAGGAACTTTTAATGTTATGGGGCAAATATGATTCACAATTTGGCACTTTTTTAAACGGTAGCGTTTTTTCGGGCACCTCAAAAACCATCCAAAATGAGGTTATAGACAGTGCGGGATTTATTATTAACGAAAATATAAGCAAGAAGATTAAAAGTGTTTCTTTTTTTGCATGGGGAATTGATGAAACTACCGATATTACCTGTACATCACAACTTTCAACCTTTTTTGGCAATTTTCAACAAAACTGTTATATTAGAACAGAAAAGTATTAATTATTGACTGAGAAGAGTTCATTTATATGAAATAACTCAAAGACAACCATTTTTCCTTGTTTTTGTTTTTTAAAATGGTCAGTTTTATACGTATAATTTTCGGCAAAACACAATTTTTGTTTGCATTTATGCAAATATTACGTATTTTGCTTTAAATAGGTGCGGTACCCCAAAAAATGTTCGCGCCTCCGGCGGTCTCTTCTGTGTGTATATAGTCTTTATGACTTTAGTCGATGCACGAGCCGTCACTGATGTTTCCATATTGAGATATATACTGCAACATTTCTTCACCGTCACATTTTCACAAGTAGATAGTGAGGTACGGAAAAAATATGAGTATCCACCACAAGCGAAGCTCTCTGGCTTACAGAGACAGGCTTGTCTGACTATCAGTAGTGCCACCAGTACCACACCGTCAGCGGCCATGGAGATCCTTCTAGATCTACCTCCTCCCCACATTTTTCTGGAAAGAGAGGCTAGATGGACTGCATACAGACTTGTGCACATTGCCAATTGCACAAATCAATTCATTGCAGAGTGCAACAGACTGTTGGTTGACATTGGAAGTCACAGCATTCTGGAAATGACGTCTGACTTTATGCCTCCAACTGTCAACTACGAACTGCCTTATAAAGTACTATTCCCGAGTAGAGAGGACTGGATCCTGTGGGAGAAGGAAATATTAAGAGCAGATAGTTCTTGGTTCACAGATGGATCAAAAACACCTTCCGGTTCTGGTGCAGGTGTTTTCAGTCACAGACCCAGGACAGAGTTATCTACCTGCCTAGGAACTTATGCGATTGTATTTCAAGCAGAAATTCACGCTATTGAATTGTGTGCGGAGAGATTGGATAAATCCAACCTCACTCACAGGTCAATAAAACCATTCTCGGACAGTCAAGCGGCGTTGGAAGCTCTTGGCTCCCACCGAGCAACGTCTAAATTGGTAGCAAACTGCCAAAAAAGACTTTCCTCGATAGGAAGACTAAACAGATTGTCTCTGGTCTGGATTCCTGGCCATACTGGCCTGGAAGGCAATGAAGCTGCTGACTCTCTGGATGTGAACTGCCAGATTTGTTTGGGATCGGAAGTTATTCTTGTTTCTATTTGGTTTATTTAGGTGTTGTAGTCAGTGTCAATCAGAAATTTTGACCTGTTTCTCAAAAGTTTAAATATTAAGTAGTCAAGATTGTTACGACACATTTTTCTTTAAAAAAAAACAAGATCACATCAAATGGTTTTATCAGTATTATTCATTAAAACATCATAGCCAAATTTTTCAAAGAAAGTTTACTCTGATCAATAACGACAAAATCTTATATATTAGGAGGTTACCTCTTCCGAATAAATTACTACTTGCCATTACTACTAAAGTGGACAAAAAACAAGAATAAGTAACAAAGATATATTTATCAATAGCTTCAAAACATGCAAGATCACATAAAATGGTTTCATTAGTATTATTTATTAAAATATCGAAGCCAAATTTTTCAAAGAAAGTTTACTCTGATCAATAATGACAAAATCTTTCAGACCGCTCTTTTTTACTTTCAGTGTGATTTCAGCGATTTCACAATTTTCTGGCCACAAAGCACATACTTCGACAGTACTACCTTTTCCAATAATACCTTTCTCATGTGCAGCAGCAAGTTGATTAACAACCCTTCTTTCTACTTCATATTTTATAGATCGGGCTCCATAATTTACGTCATAACCATCTGCTAATGCAGATTCTACGCTCCTGTCCCATTTTATATCTATTTTGTGTTTTTCTTTAGCCTAAAAAATAATAAATTGAACATAAGTGGCTGGTTTGTCCAATACCATACTCTTTGTGCCCAACACTGCAATTCTCTTGAAACCAGCCGTATAAGTTCGCTTCTTGAAAAGGGCAGGAAGTACACTATTTCGTTTATTCTTCCCAAAAACTCGTCTCTCTTGAAATGTCTCTTCAGTATTGGTTTCACCACCTCATCTTTGAATTTCTTAGATATTTTTATATTATCCGAAATGTGTTGTTCTTTTCCTGAAATGTATTAAAAATATGAGATATTTGTGTCTGAAACTGAAAGTTTTTGAAACTGACAGATAATTTTGTGATAAAAGATCAATATAAACCAACTACCTGTTTCTCATCATATCGATATTCCAATCATTTATCTAAAACGCAACAAAAATTGTAAACTTTATACACTACAATAGAGAAAAAATTATTGTTTTGTTAATTCAAAAATGAAGGTGTTTTATAATGTTGAGCTTTTGCCTCCCCCATAATGTAGTCCCTCTGAACGTGGTGTTCCGATGTACCTACATAATGTGACGACAAATCGTCGCCTTGGCATGTTCATATAGTGTTCAGTTCTATTCTTGAATTATTAAATAGTAATTGAATTTGAATAAGCATACCACTTATTACTAAAGAAATCACAAATAGATGTAACTCAGTGGTAGGATGTAACATTGGTACCAGAAGCAGAATAAGTAGTGGTGATGAAGAACAAAGGCTGGAGCAGATACAATATTATATGATGGATAAAAAAACAGTAACTTGAGCCAGCAAAGGATCAACAAGGTCTTGCCTTTCAACGTGCGTCAGGTGATATGCAGTGAACACCTACCGTCCCAGAGTAGGAATCAATCTGATATCCACATTAGTGTTTGATTTATTTATTTACGGGCAAGCCCATATAAAGTACGAATTACAGTGTTAAATTTTAATCAAAATAATAATAAAAATGCAATTAAAATAAAATCAAAGGTATTGAAATACAAATTGCAACTAAGAATAGCTTAAATGGGGTTAATTTAACGTTTAAAAGGGGTTAATTTAGAGTATGAAAAGACAAAAGACGATGAGCATCAATAAAACATATACCACATATACTATCTCAAACTATACATCGAAACATTAAAGCACAGTATTCCGTAATTGAGTTTTAAAATGATGCAAGAAGTTGAGCATCTCAAGATAAGTGTTAAAATTGGTTTATCATAGGATTCTTGGAATGCAGCTATTGAATGTTTGGTTTAAACGATAAAATGGTACATAAAATGTTTGTTGCTGTCGAGGTGAGCGGTTTTGAATGTGCAGATAATTTTTTCTAGGAGTACAACACAACTGCATTTGCCGTTACCTACTAATATTGAGAAGTAGTGTCAGGTCTCTCTGTTTCCTCCTAGTTGCCAGGGAGACATGCTCGGAGATTGCAGTAGCAACTCATACTCGCAACGAACACCAGATATATATGCTATATATCTGAGGAAGTTGTGTTGGAAATTTTCGATGTTCTTGATATAAGTTACACAATGAGGAGACCAGACAGAAGAACAATACTCTAGGTGTGGACGGGCCAGTGAGCAATAAAGGGCTTCAATAGCAGTTAGGTCAGTGAATTTGTGGGTTAGCCTTTCGATAAACCCTAGCATTTTCATGGTTTTATGGATAGCCGTGGGTATATGTTGATTGAAGCTTGAGGTGGGATCAAGAACAACCCCAAGGTCTTTCATTTGATCAACAGACTCCAAAACATGACGACCATTTAAAGTGTAATCAAAAGTGGTAGAAGGTACCCGGAATCGATAAAAGTGCATGACATGGCACTTTGTGACATTCAAGTCCATACCATTTAAGGAGCACCAGTTTGATAGATTGACTAGGTCAGACTGAAGCCTGTGGGCATCCAAGAAGGTTTTATTAATCAAGAAAAGTTTTAAATCATCTGCAATGATGCTTTGATAATGTCGTTAATAAATAAACTGACTAATAAGGAACCGAGGTGTGACCCTTGAGGAGGAACACCAGAGGTTATTTCGAATAATCTCGAGTAGTGATAATTTGCTCTAACCATTCAAGTCCTATACGTAAGATAGCTACTAATCCATTCCAGTCCATATCTGTTGAGCTTTTGGAGTAAGAGATTATGGTTAACCCTGTGAAACGTCTTAGAGAAGTCAAAGTACACAGAATCAATCTGGCAACCCTTCTCCAAAGACTTCAACAGGAAGTGGGAATAGGTAACTAGATTTAATTCAGTTGATTTACCAGCACAAACACCATACTGTTGTTCAGTTATGATGTCAGAGCAATCATAGGTGAGGTAATCTGCCAGAATGTTCTCAAATATCTTGGTAATTGTACTAAAAATAGATATCGGTTGGATACCAGATACCGCTTGACCAATTTGTATCTGAATCTTAAGAATGACTTATGAAATACGTCTGTTTTTCAAAAATATTAGGAAAAATATAAAGGCTAAAGATATGTTGTAAATGAAAGCTACAGTTTGGAAAACACTTCGTTTCAATAAAACTTTCACCCGTGTGAGAAGCCTAAGTCAATTAAATCTATAGTTGAATTAAAAAGAAAATACAGATTGTTCCATATTTGACATAATGAAATAATGGACTATCAAAAGAGAGGTGAAAATTTTACATATACATTTCAAATCATACTGAAAGTATGTGATAACATTATGTGAAACATTAGAAAAATTTTGATATTCTTATCATCAGTCTCACGTTAATATTAAATTGAAAATTACCTTCAGTTTGGTCAACATCAAGTCTTGTATTTTTAAGTTTTTCAATTTCTCTTCTGAGCTGCATGCCATGATTGGCAATTTCATCACTAGCTAAATTTGATGTCATAATGAAAATAGCATCTTTACACTCAATTGTTTTTCCTTGACCATCGGTGAGGCGGCCTTCATCAAACAACTGAAGTAACACCGTCAAAACATCAGGGTGGGCCTTGTCCACTTCGTCAAATAGAACTACGGCATTCGGACATTTTTTCAGTTTTTTAGTTAACTGTCCTCCTTCATCGTGACCTATGTAGCCTGGAGGGGCGCCTATAAGTTTAGCAACCTGTTTTGACAAAACATGTTATTGGACGTAGTTAATTTTGGACCAATTGTTTCAAAAACTAATTTACTATTATACTTTGAATGCACTTATCTTCAATAAATCCAATATCAATAATTGTAGGTGAATCTCGAAAGAATGGAAATTGAAGTTTTCCTATTTGAATAGTTATTTGGGATAATTGGGATAACTGTATAGTAGACTGGGAAGATAAGCAAATTGACAACATTGCGGGTTGCTTATGTTCTAATATGCCCATTAATGTGAAAATGGTTCAATATATAGGCAATGAGACAAAAAAAGAAAAAACAGTGTAAATTGAAGAAATTATCTTTTTAGAGTCAATGAAATATGTATTGTGAAAAAAATACAACTATTGCATTTTATTTTACGGGAGTTTTGATCACTAATCATGTTTGGTTGAAAGAACTGTAACTTTTGACAAATAAGTGACTGAAGGGAAATACTTATTTTTAGGAGTGTAGAGGATTTTAACTGTTGAAAAAAAACTATATTTTCAGTGAGATCAGCTCTAGAAGTCCTGAACAGTTAATATTGTCTGATAATACTTTTTGGAGAAAATATATCAGAGTTAAATCCATTGAACTGAGATGTTACATTGAATATATGTATATTTAAAACTTTATCTGTGTAAAACGTTTTAAAAAGCACAGTATCTCAAAAATCTCTTTCAAACGCCTTTTATTGGTCGACTAAAGCATTCATAGTGTGAAGATGAAACAGTCATCATTGCAAAGCAACTTTCAAAATAACTTCCTTTTTTTCAAGTATGATCCTGTCGAAGAAAAAGCTATCAATAAATGATTTAAGACAACAATAGAGAGAAATCTTGATCCGATTAGTTTAGTTACAGATGTTCTGTGAATAATTGTTCAAGTTGAGACTAAACAGAAATAATGAATATAAATACAAATTTTGTGAGTTGTATTTTTTTCACAATGGGTTCTATATAGTATTATATTCTTCAATTGAAATGTAAAGCATTCTTGAAAATAATATATCATTTATTAGTGAAATTATTTATATTATCTATTATATGTTTAAACTTTTGAAAACCAACTGTTGGTATCAGAATAGTTGATTATTATCAAAAATAAGCGGAATGCAAAATAATATTGAAATTCAAATTGTGCCTTCTGGAGCAATACAAAACAATGTAAAAGTTCAATTTGTAATTTTTTGCAACAAAAATGTAACATGAACTCTATTATTACCTGAACAGTGTAAGGGAGATATTGTTGAATATCATAGCAGGAAATATTCAAAGATATAGCAATTCAAAAGACTTTCAACTTTAATTGTGATAACTATATACTTGTATGTTTACATACCTATTCCAAAAATAAATTAGTCATCATTCATCTTCATTCTACTGTTTTCTATCAAATGTAGATCAACCCCAGCATGTTTCCTTCCATAATACCCTTGCCCTCAGTAGAATTTTTCTATAATGCTATACTTTAGAATGTGCACATTCTTATTCCTAAGTATCACCTCAGGTAATCCCAAAATATTTTATACATATACCTACTCCAAAAATTACACAAAGCAGATTTCATCCAATTCATATACATACATATTCGAAGATACTTTCAATTTCATTCATCAGATTCATTAAAGAGTGTTTGTCGTCAATATACCTCGTGTTTTTCTTGAAATTCAGACATATCCAATCTGATGAAGGCCTGCTGTTTTTCTTTGTGGATATAGGCAGCTAACTGTTTGGCCAGTTCGGTTTTTCCAATTCCAGATGATCCCAAGAATAAGAAGACCAGAGGATGATCATCATCTGTCCAACCATTCTCCTTTCGCCTCACAGCTAGAAGAAAAAAAAGAAAATGAAATTGAAATTATAATTTTTCTTTATTTACTGGCTGCGACAATAGCAATTGCCCCTTCTTGGCCTACTATGTGCTTCGTCAGCCTTTCCTCAAGTGGATATCTTCTACGTTCTTCCTTTTCTTTTTCTAGTTTTTTTTCTTCAAACTAATCAGAAACTAATTTTCAGAAAACTGTTATTAGACTTTATTTACAAAAAATCAAAAAGAGGAGTGAAATGAGCAAAAAAAACCCCGAAGCAAAAATGTTCCCCAACATATCCGAACTGTAACACTCTTCTCAACAGGTGTTTTACCAACCAAGTGAGAGATAAATATCTCCATCAAAATCTCTAGACCCCAGAAGCCTAACACTCTTTTTGAAGACCCTTTACCAATCATTCCGATGAAGACGATTATATCCTAATGTTGAAGAGTATTATAGTTCACATGCCTCTTCTTGAAAAAGAACAAAAAAATTAACATTGGGCACAAATCAAAATCTACCTATTGATTCATAAACAGCAACAAGTACAAGTATTCAATAAAAAAAATAACCAAAAATTGTTAGGGTATTAAATTGATGGATGTAGCTGTTACTATATGGTAGGAGATCATAATGAAAAGAGAAATGAAAATTTCTATGTTTTTTACCACTTTTGATTTAGCAGCCTACAACTCAATGTTACTCACTGTTACTCACTGTTATTCTGTTCACTGTTATTCTCACTGCATTTGTCTACAAACAATCTAGCTAGGGAAATTGATACAATTACACAGACAGGTCATGATAATGGTTTCATCGCAGATACTATCCAGAAGTTAGTCAGGAAACAAAGCCGGAAATTCACTTACAGATCCTCAGGTCAAACAACCAGAATCCAAGAAATGAGTAACGCTAACATATTTTGGAAAAAAAGAACAGAAATAATCGCAGGTTTCTTCAGAAAAAAACAATGTGGAAGTAGCATTCAGACCGCATGCCAGGTTATCTCATTTCCTTTTCAATGCCAAAGATAAGGTCGACAAGTTGGAAAAATCAGGAGTTTATAAGCTTAAGTGTTCGGAGTGTAATAGTTGTTTAGTGGGTCAATGCGGTCGAAATTTCCAAAAACGGTATGCTGAACATGAAAGGTCCTTCAGACTAGGAAAAATGATTCGAAGTTTTCAAACCATTCCTTGGCATGCAACCACAAGTTTCCGAATCTAAACGATACGGAAATTCTCCACTATGCAAGGAAGGGTTGCAAACTCAATTATTTAGAATCCTTGGAAATTTACAATCATAAACATTGCTGGTGCATCCTGTTAAATGATCAAATCGATTTAATTTACTCTCCGGTTTTAAAATTGGCACATCCGCATTATGAACTGTAAATTCAGGTATTCAATCAAGTACCTGAATGGTATACAGGGCTTTTCATGATGAGCGTTAATTAGCCGTTTCTGACAAACTATTTAACGGATCAACCTGAAAATTTCACAGTATGCATAAATCAATATGACCTACACGCCTAAAATATTTTAGACGAAGCGGCGTTGTCGCTTCTACTATAAAGTAGCGGCTTCTTTGATTTTTCAAATGGAACACCCCGTATATAATATCATATTATGATTCATTATCACTTTGTCAACAAATTCATATACTATTTCCCTAAACCTATCTATTACCGTTTAGAAGATATAAATTAATTTCGATATGTTTTTTACCAAACATGAACTTTTATAAATGCTGATAATCTTGAACTCTCTTGCACTAAAACGATCAAATTTGAAATGGAGTGGAGTGATACTATGAGGATCTTCACTCCGTGTCATATTTTCATTTGCCTCATACAGAGTCTTCAAAAAATGCAGATACTTTGATCTCATGAAAAAATGAGTGAAACTCAATTTTTTTTAATGGAACACCCTGTATATTTCAACATTTTTGAGCTCTACATCCAATTTTAGATTAACTTTGTTCAGATAATACTATTTCTATTTTGAACCGTTTTCGAGATAAACTGTTTCAAACGGAAACTGACGTGGTTTTCTTGCTCGTTTTTTTTTGAATTCATCACTTATTTTGGATATTCAACATTTTTTTTATACTTGGTAATATTTCTTTTTGATCCAGTTTTTTAACTGTCTCAGATTAGTCAATTCGAAATTGGTATGTACCTACCTTAGAAAAAGGTACAATTTGTATACATTGAGGTATTGGTCTCCAACGTACAACAGTACACATTAATATTTTTTAATAGTGTGCTTTGGAAAAATAAATAAACCAATTATTTAACGTCAGACTTTCGTTGGTGGATTTGACTGATTGTGATAGCTACCAATTATAATGGAATAATTGGTTTGGGGTACTCTGTGTCTGGCAATTCCGAAACAGGGCTTCTGCCACCTTTACTTCAGGCCATTTGGAGAAATAGTCCATCACAACCATAAGGTACTTGTTACCATATTTGGTCAAAGGGAGTGGTCCCAGAATGTCAAATGCGATTTTCTCGAAAGGGCACCTTCTGAGATGCTACTGCAATCTTCCTCTTTGCCCAGTCTTCAGATCCTTTTTCGAAGAGTACAGGTCACAGCACTTACACCATTCTTCCACATCTCGGCGTCAATTGACCCAATAGTAACTCTCACGCACTCTCGCTAGAGTGCTATTTACTCCAAAATGCCCTCCAGTGCGACCACCGTGCAGCTGTTCAAACATAATCGGGATACACGTCTTTGGAAGGATCATCTGAAATTTGTTTTTCCATCCGGGCTTTTCCATTTCTAAGTGGGTAGGTCATCTTGAATGCCCATGGAGTCCCACTGGAGCCAGTAGCCCTTTTTCTTGCCATTCCGGCTTCACTCCTTTGTCAATTCATTCTCGAACAGTTTTCAAGGCCGCAAAGCCTCGAACATTTTCTTAATCTCTTCCATCTTATCGTAATCAATTCCTTGTTTTCACCATAAAACAGAAAATTTTCAGTCTATCATTCCACTTCTGATACCAAATCTTACGTTTTCCCCGTGGGTTTACCAATAATTGACTACACTGTATAATAATCAAACTCAACTTTATTTCACAACAAAACACTTTAACTGAAATTTCAACTATTATTTAAATGTCTATCGCCTTATAAGATTGCTTTGCACCGCACTGTCCACGAAACTTGACTGTATCGATAGACAAGTGGATGGCGTTTATATTTGGCAATCGAAGGAGGTAGAAACTTCATCAATATTCTCGCCACACCTAGAACGCTGGCGAACATCGAAGAACCGCAAACGTCGGTCGGTGCTCTTAGCCACGTCACAACAGTATATTGTGTAGCGTTCCTATGAGTGATATCTGATTCAATTTCATAACGAATGATTGGAGTACAAAATGTATAAGAAAAAGTGATTTTCATATAATTCAATGTTCACATAGAAGTAGTTGTTTTGAAAGTATTTTTTTCTTTTGTGTAATTCAATGTTAATATGGAAGTAGTTGTTTTGCTAGGGCTTTTTCCAGTTTGTATCTATAAATAACTTCTATGCATGATCTACACATTTTTGTAAAGAATTTATTTTGAGATTAATTGCTTTCTCCCTTCATTTGGAAGTAGAAAGCCAAAACCTTTCTTTCCCAATAATTCAAATATCATCTGCTTAAATTATTTAAAACGATATTAGTTTATATTTATGTAAGTCTGACTAGTAGGTTTGAAAAATATGGTTCAGTTTGAGTGAACCAGTGTTAAAAATATCCTCTAGAAAATGAACAGTTTTCCAGATCTGAAATTAGTAAAAACATGGAAAATTAAAGGCACAATTCAAAAATAATAATTTGATTAGCAAATTCATGTATTTTAGTAGTAAACACTTCAGCTAGGATGATGCATATAAACAAACCCTGGTGTTTTTACCGATTTGCTTTTGTTATGTCAAAAACTCTTGTAGCGAGAAACAACATTGACCCAACTTTGTACAATTGATAGATGGTGCAAAAATTGAAATGATATCTATTTAATCCCAAATGTAAGCATTGAAGATTGAAGTACTAACGTGACATTGCTAAGCTGCTTCACTTGAGTAGTACTCAGCAACTATGTAAATGAAATGCTGAAATTTATTGGATCTGTTTATCATTTCTTTATCAAGAGTGCCATAGATCAAGAGTTTTTAACCAAACATTTAATATGGGGACAGGATCATTCCAGGACTATTCTATGCATCTTGATTCTACTCATAAGTGCTAGTTATATTTCAATTAATTTTTAAGCAAATATTTATGTTTCTATGTTGGGTGTTGCCTTGCAACAATTCTCCTAGAATTGAAAATTCCACTTCCATTTTTACTGACTCACAATAGATACTTCTCCTTCCAAAAATGTTCTAATTTCTGCATCTTTGGCATATATAACAGGTGTGTGACCAATATCATTTTCAATTGTTGGGTCTGCACCATAACTCAACAGCATCTTCACTAATTCAAAATTGTCAATCAAAACAGCATAGTGAAGGGCTGTGAAACCAAGAAATGTTGCTTTATTATTGAGATTGCTTGAAAATTCCTCATCTCGAATCATTAACACTGAAAAAGAAATACCAACTAGACTAGGAGAATAACATTCACATGATGAAAAACATATGTAAGCACTTTAGTTACTTCATATCTACCTTCTACAGGATGCATCCCTTTTTCATGGGCAGTTCTGTTAGGATTAATATAATTATCAGGAAGATTGGGATCTGCACCTGCATTCAATAACATTTCCACAATGTCACTACGTTCATTAACTATAGCGACTAAAAGAGGTGTCCATCCCAAATGATGTCTTTTATTGATATTTGTTCCCTCCTTTATCATTCTGAAAATACAATTTAAGAGGATATGGTAATAATATATACTTCATTTCCACTAGATATTTCAATTGCATCAGTAACCTTTTAACTTCATGTGTGAGACCAAAAAAGCATGCCTTAAACAGGCGTTTTTCATCCTTATCTAGTCTTCCAATATCACAATATACAATACCCACTCCCAGAGTAAATTTGAATAAATTCGGTGATTTGTGAAAATGGTGGAACTTCTCCTTTCTTTTTCGTTCATATTTCCTAGATACATTCAGTTTTAGTTTATAGTTATCACTTCTCAAGTTTTGAACTCCATATATTGACGCCTCAATGTGCCTTATCGCTCGAAATGAATTACAAATTCTTGCCAATTTCAACATTATAGAAAAGTCTGTTTGGTAAGATTTTGTTAGGTTAACTTTCTTCTTCTGTTCTATTGTTTTTTTTTGCCATAACAGACTGGGTTAACAAAGTGAATCCTTATTATGTCTTCTTCTTCTTATTCTTCTTATGTCGCAGATGTCGCAGTCAAATTCACATTAAAAAAATTAAAGCGCCTGCGTAAGATGTGGATACTGGATGGATATTGGGATGTGCCTTTGTTTTAGAAATTTTTGTAATAGACCATAGGGGGGTAACAATAGTCAATGAACCTATCAAGATGTATAGAATATTCCTCTTATGATCATTTGGACCTCTTCCCATTAAATAAAGATTTAAACAAAATACGCACGACAGATTTAAATTCTTGCACCATCTATCAACATGTGTACAAAGTTGGGTCAACCTTAATTCTCGCGTCGGGAGTTTTAGACAAAACAAAAGGGAATCGGTAAATACACTAAGGTTTCCATGCATTTTGAAATCTATTTGAGTCATCAATTGATCATTGATAACTAATAATGCAAATACTATAATTTTTTAAGAAGCAAATAGGTGAGTTAATCGCGTGAATTGACATTCGTGGACATATTATAAGTAGGTGAAATTTCAAAATTCTCTTTGCTGGTAGACGCGTTCTTGATGAAAACTATAGGATCGCCCAAACGTGATTGTAGATTCGAATCAAAGTAATGAAAATCATTTGTACTGTAAATAACATCATGAATAATAAAACAACTGGCAAATCTCACCGACAGTGAATTACACAGGATGAAACTAGACTCTAGGGAAAATTCCTCAATCATAATATTAAGCCTGATATTAATTCGGCAAGTTTGAAAGTTTTAGGTATTGAAACAGAGCTGGCTCTGCGAGGTACTTTCAATTCGAATAAATATATTGCCGCAAATATTTTGAACCCATTCATGTAATTCAGTTCAACGAAATGAGAATTGCAAAATTAATAAAACAAAAAGCAAATGTTTAGAAAATAGTTTTCACAAGAACAGACAAAATTCGATTAGTAGGTAGTTGCCATAGATAAGAGCGAATACGTAAAGGTAAACTCTTAATGTTTTGAATTTATGATCTTACGATGTTCTGGGAGATGATTAATAATTATAATGATAATAATAATGATAATGATGGTCTTTATTGGGTGAAATACAATATAACATCCAAAAGGCGAAGTTCAAAACTGCAGTGTAGAACACTACAGGTTTTTGTTCTACCACTTAACCTCCATGAACAACAATGCTTCATGAAAATACTCTTCAGAACTATTTGCAGAAGACATTTTATGAAGTTTGTCCTCCATGAATATCACCTCCTTTTGTCACTATGATTTTTTTAAACTTCATGTTATACAATTTGTAGTTTTTCGTGTCGTCACAGTAACCAAGAAAAATGCATCAACTTGATTTTGAATTGAGTTTTTTCCACTCTTTCTTTGAAATATATACCATTGTCCTAAATCTGAAAACTCTCAGCTGCTCTAAATTCGGTTTTATGTCACTCCCTGCTTCTTTCAGAGTAATTTCATCTAATCCTCGACATGGTAAAAGGTTAATCAAACATAATATCGTATTCGCAGCTTCTGCCCAAAAATTTTTATTGAAACTAGCGTTCAATTAACATGCACCGTATTCTTTCAACTACAGTACGTTTAATTTTCTCAGAAAGACCGTTCTGTTCGGGTGTATAGATAGATACGTAATGAACTGTGCCGTGATTATATTAAAAATTTGTGAACAGTTCATTACAATATTTAGTGCCCTTATCAGTTCGTAAAATCTCAGAAAAAGCGTCATCCTCACTCTACTCTTCAACATATAAATGAAATTACCTATAGACCGAACTTGCTTTCGTCCACAAAAGTCCAACTGTATCAATTCTAGAGTATTACCACTAGGTAATTTCTTCGGAAAATTCACAACATCGGTATAACCACTTCTCAATTCATATAAACTCTCACTTCATGTATTACTCATTCGTCCTATGTCAAATTTCGTAGATCAGTTTTGGAGTTTGAATGGAAATTGCTGTAGTCATACTTGGGTATCCATGCGTTCTATCTAGTTTGAACATACTTTCCTGTTCTTGTAGCAATGGTCAATAAATTATTGTCTTGGTCTCTAAGAAGTGCATTTATCGATAATATTTACGCATAAATCAGAAACATTATAACCTCCATTCAGACTGTCTCCATTCTTTGGTGTTTTTATTTACATCCTGCAAAATCTTGGTTTTGATTGCATCTGAGATAAACTGTATGCCGGTAATTTCGATAGTCTAGTCTAAATTCATTTGTTAATACGGGTATACTAAAATTCCATAGTTGTATGCCTAAATTCTCAGAAATATTATTGCATTAAAACGAAAACACCGTTATCAGGTTCTATATATTTTATAATTATTTTTTCTCATCTGTTTAGTATAATTTCCGTACGCCACTGAAAGATGCAGATTGAGGCAAAAACTTCACAGTCATTTCTGAGAATTTATATTGTTTACTATGTTGGAATTATAGTTCAGTAAGAGAGTACCCATCCACTTATCATTCACATCCATTCCAACACCCCTCAACTTATGTGCTGTAGATATAATCTGATTGATGTACTCCTTTTGGTTTTGAATTATTTGTGAAAGTCCAGGAAAGGTTTAGAAGGTGAGTAAATATGAAAAAAAGAATAATAATAATAATTGAGCTCAGGGTTCGACAGCCTGAGCTCAATGAACTGCGCAACCCGATAACCCCGGATGACGTTCATAAAGCCCTTGTGGGTTCCAAGAACTTTGCTGCTCCAGGGCCAGATGGGCTAAACACTTATTGGTGGAAAAAATTAACAAGAACCCACCGTCATCTGACTAGAGTTTTCAACTCATGGCTGGACGGAGAACAGCCGATTCCGGATTGGTTTGTCGAGGGGCGGACTGTTCTCATCTCCAAAAGCGGAGATTTGTCAATTCCTAAGAATTACAGACCGATAACATGCTTGAATTTGTGTTATAAGTTGTTTACAAGCATCTTATACACATGAATACTCACCGCAGTTGACTGAGTGTTTGAACAGATATATGAGCATAGACGGTCGAAGAGAGGAGTCGCTGGATGCAACGAGAACATGGTCATCGATAGATGTGTAACGCAGGACTCGATACAACATAAGCGTAACCTCTCTATGGCCTGGATCGATTACCGTAAGGCATTTGATACAATATCGCATGAGCTCATCTTGCATTTGCTCAGATGCCTTGCGGTACACGACAAAATAGTGAGATGCATTGAACAACTGATACGACTTTGGCGAACTCGCTTCACCATAACATCTGGTCCAGCCAGAGTCCAATCAGGGTGGGTCACTTTCAGATGGGGAGTATTTCAGGGCGATTCCCTCAGTCCCCTTCTCTCCTGCATCTCACTATTGACATTATCCGTTGCGCTCAGAAATACTCGAGGGTATAACTGTGGCACCCCCGGAAACCGGGGGCACAAGGTCACCCATCTGTTTTATATGGATGATCTTGAACTGTATGCCTCTGGAGAGAAGGATCTCCATCAGTCCTTGAGGCTAGTGGAAGAGTACACGCATGATATCGGTATGAAATTCGGGATAGACAAATGTGCAATGGTCCATCTCAAAAGAGGACGATGCGGGGACTACGGAGAGGATGTGTAGCTCGTAGATGGAAGCATCCTACACCACTTGGATGCCGAAGAAACGTTTACATACCTCGGGGTGGAACACACCACTCACAAAAGGTAATAGCAGTGAAGAACTCTCTCCACGGCAAGCACAAACTTCGACAGATTTGGTCATCGGAACTTCGGGGAAGAACAAAGTTGCTGTAACAAATATGCTTGCCGTTCCAATCTTACTATACTCGTTTGGAGTAGTGAAGTGGACACGGGAGGATCTGTATCAACTCGATGTAAAGACCCGAAAAATGATGCATCTCTATAATAGTTTGCATTCCAAATCGTCCGTCCAACGGTTGTACTTCCCCCGACAACAAGGAGGCCGTGGACTTTTGAGTTTGGAGTGTCTACATGACATGACATGAACTAAACCGAGATCATCAGCTGCTCTGGCAGCTGCCTGAGCAGCTGATGAACTCAGTTTAGTTTTCGACACTGAAAGAGGTGACCACAACTCTGTCACCGAGTTGGAACCCGTTCAGCAAAAAGCTTATATAAAAGCCGCAGATCACCTCACTTCTTCGGAAACACAAGGATAAGCCAATGCATGGAGTTTTCTTAATAACATTGGAGACCTTGACTTATCAAAGCGCCTGACTTTCGCTTTCCTCAGGTCGAGTGGGCAGCGGTCGGAAACTGAGGGGTTCATCATGGCTTGCCAGAATGGTGTCTTCAACACCTTAGTCTACCGCTGTCGCGTGATGGGTATAGAGGTTCTTGACACAAGGTGCAGGGCCTGCCACGAGGGGCCCGAGACCCTATGCACTTGCTATCAGCATGTCCAGCATATGCGGTCTCGGCCTATATCCATCGACATAACGCGACCCTAAGAGTGCTATATTACCATCTACGGCACGCTTACGATATTGACGAGACACCGGTGTTTCCCTACGCTTCGGGGGATATGGAGTCCGTTGTAGGGAACGAGAACTATTCGTTATCCACCCTCAGGCTCATACAAGCTTATAAACCTGATCTAGTTCTTCTTGACCACCAGAGCAAGACGATATTTGTCGTGTCGCTGGAGTTTTCAGCTCCTGGCAAGACAAATATCGTCCGAAAAGAGGAGGAAAAAACGGATAAAAGAACGAGATTTTCTTTTCGAACTCCGCAGACTACCCAGACCACTCTGTCAGGATGGTTGTTCTGATTATTGGAGTCCTTGGTGAAATAACCACTCTCGACCACCTTCTTGACCACCAGAGCAAGACGATATTTGTCGTGGAGTTTTCAGCTCCTGGCGAGACGAATATTGTCCGAAAAGAGGAGGAAAAAACGGATAAAATATCAAGATTTCTCTTCGAACTCCGCAGACTCTATCCATACCACTCTGTCAAGATAGTTGTTCTGATTATTGGAGTCCTTGGTGGAATGATGCCCGAGAGTAGAGAACTCTCGAATCTTAAAAACATACCGGCCTGCCGCACTAAGGCNACACTATCCGTAGCAGCCTCACGAAAACCAGGCCACCAAACGCGGACTGCGATTCCAAGGATTGCATTTACCGGATACCCTGTGAGTGCAGAAAATCCTATATTGGTGAAACTAAGAGGCCATTCAATGTTCGCATTGCCGAGCACAAGAAATACACACAGCGAGGGGAAACCAGCAAATCGGGAATAGTAGACCATGTTTTGGATCCATCAACACAACATCGAGTGGTCCCAAGCTGAGATCATACACAGAGAGGAACATTGGTTTAGGAGAAAATTCAAGGAAGCCGCATACATATTGTCCAACAATGTATTCATCCAAGCTAGCGTAGAGATACGCAATGGAAACCCATCATCAAGCGAAAAATGGCCAACTCCCGCCAAACGGTCATCTCCCACTAAACCAGTGAAGCGGAAAATGGAAAGCGTGGATAAGTGAAAGTACTCGAACGACCCATAAATAGTCATCTCTCAGAGGAATCAGTCCAGTCATCACCCGAAGACGATTGTAGATACCAACAATCGAAACGTCGTGAACGAACGTGGCTTGAAATCTCATAATTGTTCTATTTTTACTTGTATTTTATTTCACTGTTATTTCATTTCAGGTTTTTGCTTAATATAATTTTATAATTTTTATTTTTAGCTATTCATTTTTTAATTATTTTCTTTTAGGTGTCTCAGGGATTTCAAATCATTTTATATATTAGACAATGGAAGTCCGAACTAGTAAAATTCATCATGAAACATTGTCAATCACCTTCAAACAAATCAGTGAAAATAGTGACGTATTATAATGAAACGTAACTGACAGCTCACATGTATATCACAGGGTGCTTTACTGAAGAGTGCAATCTTACTATTCCCATTCATTTTATTATGTACCAATACCTTTTATATTATTATACTCAATAATTTTGTATCAATTTTAAAATTTCAAATCTGCTCAAATCCGCTAGTGGAATATAATAACAAGTTAATGATTTTTGACTTGAATTTGATGTCCAACTTCTTGTTTTCGTTGGTGCTTTGATCCGTTGCTGAAATGCAGTGCCATCTCCAGGTATCATAGTTCTCACGACCTTTCAATCGTTCTATCGAAGGTAAAGAACTTCCTGTTGACATTTTCCTTATTGGTGAAAAGTTGTTCAGGAAAAATATCAGTACAACTGATATCACTACTTTAATTCTACAATGACTAGGCCCACTACTTGATGAAAACTATAAGGTTGCACAAACGTAATTGTAATTCCAATCAGATGAATTGAGTAGAATTCACGTCGTATACATTTTTATTCTCTTGGCGACATCATAAACAAGGTACAAAAGGTATCTCAGTTTTGTAGGTGTACAAATTGAATTTTCAGTTGTCTTAATTGTTTAATTGTCCAACCTTTCAGACTGCCTGGAAGGCTCAAGTGTGGATAAAATTCATCTTGTTCAATAGGCATAACATATTTTGATCTTATAGATATACAAAAAGTCAATATTTCATTAAGATAACTTTCGAAATATTTTCAACCTAGTTCAATTAACTTTTTTCACTAAACCAATCACCAGACCAATCATATTTTATTGAAAAGTTGTAAGTGTAGCAATTTTCATTGAATTATGGAGAAGTTTTAATATTTTTTAAAAATGACTTCAAGCTTTTGCTTCTAACCTAGTTTTTTCATCTTTATTTTGAACACCTGCAGGGTTATAAATGAATCAAATAGGAAATAAATTTTCAAAATATACCAAACAAGTTAAAAGTTAGCGCATTTTTTCCTACAATGACATCATAAACGTGTCTACAGAATCTTTGACATTTTGCAATCCCTCCAATATAATAACCCTGAGCCTGCACAGCTGTTTTGCTTTTTGACAATTTTGACAGTGACGGTGACGGCAGACAACAGTGACAAAAATTTATATAAAAATAAATGCTGTTTATTGTTTGTGAACTTGTGAAGTAGATCAAGAAATTTTTCCACTTTGAAATTGAAAGTGAGTTGATAAAAGTAGTAATTTTGAATAGTATAAAAATTCAAGTTTACGATATTAATTGATCGTAATTTATTATGTGTTTGGCAAAATACCAGGACATTTTTTAATTACGAAAGTTATCTGGAGTGTGGGAGAAAAAAAATTACAAGCTTTTTCGGTATTCTTTTGAGTTCTAATTTTACGGTAAACTTCTTGGCAATTCGGTGTAGTATAAATACTTTTTTAATTAGAAAATATTCTGAGATGGCAAATTTAGGTAACCTTGTCCTTGCCAACTGAGTATGAAAAAATTAAATTCTGTGTTTTCTTTGTGATAAGTATATCATCCATTCTAATTTTGGCCGATTGAAGGTAGGTAAGTCTTATGGATCTAATTGTATTCAACAGAAAAACATAGTGAAAGTATTCATTTATACTTTCTCCTATTTATAGTTCATTTGTTTCCTTGAAATATATCTCTTATTGCAGAACTCTGGACTACAGATTAATACATGGTAAATACTCAATTTTTCATAAACAGTTTATTTTGACTAGAGAGGTTCAAATCATCTTGTTTTAATTTACAAGAAGCCAAGCCCAAGAATAAAGTCAAGAAAATATACTTTTATATTTCAGAAAGGATAAAACAACATCAACTATAACAGAATCAACAACATTCCATGGATGCAAAAAACATATTTCAGAAATAACAAATTTCAGTTTACATCACAACACTTTCCCCTAAACTTAATTCAAAGGAATGTTAGAAAATATCAGCATTGATGATCCTAAGTAGTTTTCTCAGTTTTTTAAATCTGTCTGCATGAAGGATTCTCTGTTATCTATCTATGTATGTACTTTATTAATCAATATTACATGATATATAGTATTTTGATAAGTTATTAACTGCAATTTATCCTAAATCTAAATAAATATAAGAGTAACACAAATATTTGGTTTCAAAATGGTATAAAAAATATTCTGATGAGTGGTTCGTCACATATTGAAGGCAAGTTTCTGAGCTTTATTTGAGTTTAACTTAATTAGTTTGCCACGAACCACGTTGTATCTTGATTTATAATCGAAATTACTACAGAATTATTCAAGATTCTGTTTGTTAAGGGAGCATCATTAGCTAACAAGGTTGTTAATGTGTTTTTAGTTTTGGGCAGGTCATTTAAATAGATAAATAAAGTGATCCTAAGGATGCTACCTTGCGGCACTCAATTATGTATTGTCAAAAATGAACTGATCTAAATATTGCAATGAACTATTTGTGATCTAGTCTGAAGTGAGGGAAAAACGTGTAGGAGAAATCTGTACAAGATTTGAAAAAATTAAAGTAATCAAAGATTGAGGTTGTGACTGAAGGGATTGAAGATATTTGAAAATGATTTGAAATACTCAAATCCCAATCAACATGATTTTAAGGATTTCAGATTATATCACATTGATTTAAGTATTTAAAAACCAGTTAATACGATTTAACAAGATTTAAAATTAAGTCACTTGATTGAAGTACTCGAAAATTAAACAACATGACTGATTGCAATCATTTGATCCAAATATATCAACTCTAATTATTTATCGCCGACGATAAAAATTTCACCTCAATTTTCTAGGCCGTCTGAGGATGTGAAAATGAAGTAGATACTTTTAAAAAATCGTATCATCGATAATAGAATGTGTAGGCCTACAAGATTGATATATGTTATTACGAATGGCCAATTCGACAAAAAAAACTTCACGTCATAGTTTTGCAATGATTATGAGTTTTCACCTCATTTCCACCCCTTCAGAAGGCCTGGAAAACTATGACGTGAAATTTTTCTTGTCGAATCGGTCATCAGGAATAACATATTCCAATCTTGTAGGCGTACACATTCTATTTTTGATGATACGATTATTTAAAAGTATCCACCCCATTTCCACCCCAGCAGACGACCTGGAAAACTATGACGTGAAGTTTTTTTTATTCAATCAGTCATCAGAAATTACTCATCCCAATTTTGTAGGTGCAAGTACACCTTCAATTTTCTATGATACAATTTTCAAAAAGTTTTTACTTCATTTCCACCCCCTTAGACGGGCTGGAAAACTCTGATGTGAAGTTTTTTTATGTCAGTCTTCTAGGTGTACACATTCTATTTTCGATGATACGATTTTTAATCGTACGAATTTTTGAAATATTTCCACCCTTTTTTCATCCCTTCAGACGGTTTGAAAGCTTTGACGGTTCTTTTTTTTTTCACTAAGTGGGTCAATGAGCGTATCTTAGTAAATAATGGTAGGTGAACAAAGTCGTTAAATGAAAAAAACTTTCTTTCCCAGAAAAAATAATAGTTCAATATTTATTTCTCAGTGGATGTGGATAACATCACACTCGTGAGAATAAGTTGATCAAAAAAAATTAACCTAGGAAAATGCTGAATAACTTACAACTTAATTAGGTACTCTTGTCAAACATTTTTGCAACCATCACTGAAGTAGATAATGAACTGGGTAAATTCAAAAGAGGTAGGTAAATAAATACTCAGTATAAAATAACTGTTTTTATTATAAAGTTCATTAAAATGAATATTTCCCTTCAGTTCAGTAGAAACTCAAACATTTTTAGTAAAGGATACAATGACGGGTAATACTCAAACAGGAACAAAAGTAACTTCTAAACATAGTTGAACACATAAATCTGTCAAGCATAAAACTTATTGGGGAAATTACTGAAAAATACTTTCGTAGCGGGATGGAAAGAGTTCCATGTCTCAAACAAACTCCCATAATACTAATTGTGACATTTTTTTTCTGATTGATTCGGCCGTTATTTGATAAAGATCCATAGTAATTTCATAAACTACACCTTACGATTTGATCTTCACAAACTTTATGTTCAAAAATATTATGACATGTATTGCCACAAACTTTATTTAAAGAAATATTACGTCGTGATATATTCCACTTGAAATTAATAGGCGATTTCATTTTGCCAGAGAATCAAACAAATTCCATCATAATTACTAAGCTGTACCTGAAGGGCAAAGAAAACAAATTTCAGAATATACAGAGAAAAACCATCTATGAATGTGTTTATTTCAGCGTACCAAAGGTACTTACAATTAATACAGAATCAGAATCAGAAATGCTTTATTGTCATAAAAGTTTAAGTTTTGTTGACAAAGCAGGCTTAAGAACTGAAACAATCTGAAACATTAACATAAAGGTCAAGAATTTAAAACAAGATATTAATATGGCTCGAGCACACTTCAAAAAGTTTATGGTAAAAGTCTGTGATAAAAAATTTTATATGTTGACAAAACAGGCCTAAAAACTAAAAACAATCAGAAACATTAAAATAAAGGTCAATAATTAAATAAGATATTAATGTGGCTCAAACACACTTCAAAAAGTCTATGGATAAAAGTCTGTGATGAAAAATTTTATAAGTTGGAATCAAAAGAAATTATAAATTGATTGAATTACTATGTGGTAGGACATCATCATGAAAAATGAGAAATGAAACTTTCTAAGGATTTTATCACTTTTATTTGTAACTATCGATACTGCAGTTTCGTCCTATATGGACATTTTCAAACTAATACAATAAATCACAAATTGACTGGGCATACTTGGAGACTGGCTTAAATCGAATTATCTAAAAGAACAATTTGTTCAGGCCAGTCTTTAATTACCTACACTGTAGGTTAATAGACTGACACCTATCAGAAAACAACTACTCCCCTGGCTAATACCACTAAGGGCGTTGGATTATATCCGACAGGTGTCAGTGCAGGATTCTTCACTGAAGTTATTCCTGCATATGCTGTTGGCAATACAACTGCTGCAGTCGATTTTTAATTATTGGTATACACTTACAGTTTCGGGCTGTTTGGCCACTCGTCAGTGCAAGGTAGTGTCCAACATCAACATAAAGTCGATGACTTCTGATAATTGAAAATCGAATTCTTTCGAACTGGGCTGGAGCGAATGAGGAAACCTACCGCATTTCCGAAATTTGCCCAATTTCTAGTATAAGGAAGAAAACTTCATAAATTGAGTGGGCATACTTGGAGACTGGCTGTAAATCAATTTTTCCAAAAAAATAATTCGTTCTGGCCAGTCTCAAATTACCTACATTGTAGGCTATATAACCCAACGCCCTTCGTGATATTAGCTAGGGGAGTAGTTGTTTTCTAATAGGTTTCAATCCAAAGGAGTCAGCAGCCTCATTGTCTTCCAGGACAGTATGGCCAGGAATCCAGACCAGAGACAATCTGTTAAGTCTTCCTATCAAGGAGAGTCGTTTTTGGTAATTTGAAACCAATTTAGACGTTGCTTGGTAGAAGCCAAGAGCTTCCAACGCCGCTTGACTGTCCGAGGATATTTTTATTGACTTGTGTATGGGGTTGGTTTCTTCCAATCTTTCCGCACACAATTCAATAGCATAAATTTTCTCTTGAAATACAGTCGCATAGAATCCTATGCAGGTTGATATTTCTGTCCTGAGTCTGTGACAGAAAACAACTGCACCAGAACCTGAAGGACAATGTCAAGATATTTCACCTCCGCTCCAAATGGAATGACCTCACCATTTAGGGAAAGTGGCGTTAAATCGTCCAATTTTCTCCATAAATGATTATTGGTCTGACAATCATCACATAAATCCAGTAGATTTGTTTGGGACCTTAACCCCAAGTTTCACCACAAATCCTTTCACATGTTCATAGGGACAGTCTGGCTTTTTGTGAAACTTTTTTCAAGTGAGCGTTCCAGGTGAGTTTTTAATCAAGGACAATGCCAAGATATTTCACCTCCGCTCCAAATTGAAAAAAACCCCACCATTGAGGGAAAATGACGTTAAATCATCCAATTTTCTCCTCCTGATGATGGAGATTATCACAGTTTTGCTGGGGTTGACAGACATCTGCTCCCTCAGGCACCAGATGTGAACAACGTCCATCGTGCTTTGGAGGATATTACAACCTACCCTTCCCGACGTGGACCTTGCCAAGATGACAAGGTCATCTGCATAAGCTTGCAAATCTACTTGTTTTATGTCGAGGGCATCAAGCAGACTATTCATCAGGAGCGACCACAGAAGGGGAGATAGTACCCCACCTTGAGGGCAGCCTCTGGTAATCCTGAACCTAATGGCGGCGCCTTGAAGAGTCTCGAAGTTGGAGTTCCGTTCACCAGCATGGCATAGATCTAGCCACTTATGGTAGATTCTATGCCTTTCCTAGCCAGGGATGATCCTATTGTTACGTCTTTCCCCGTGGGTTGACCAATAATTGACTACACTGAACAATAATCAAACTTAATTTTATTTCACTGTGTATACAACAAACACTTCAACTAAAACTTCCACTATTATTTGAATGTCTATCGCCTTACTAGATCGCTTCGCGTACCGCACTGTAACTTCCCCATGACTGTGTCGAGTGGATGGCGCTTATATTTGGTAATAGAAGGCGCCAGAATGTTCTTCGAAATTCCATCAAAGCCGGTAGCATTATTCTCGAAGCAAGGCCGCGCCTGGAACGGCGGCGAACATTGAACATTTGCGAGCTCTTAGCTACGTCACAATTGGTTTATGACTACCAGTGGCGGCCAGCGTTATTTTCTGTAGGGCATAATTTACAACACTACCCCTTCCCTGAGGTTGTTCTCCGAACAACATTCCACGAGGGGCATCACGACCCATGTAAGGACTCAGCCTCTCTATGTAGACAACTTTAGGCTTGCAATAATTTCAGGTTGCTTAGTCACGATTTTGAAAGTTTTCTTCTCCTCGTTTGAATTAAATATTTCGGTAAATACCTCAGACACACTTGGAAAGTCGATGATGGATGGGAA